CTTTGAACCACAGGCGCTGCTCCTTTTTTTTTTTTTGAGACAGAGTCTCACTGTGTCGCCCTTAGTAGAGTGCCATAGCATCACAGCTACAGCAACCGCAAACTGTTGGGCTTAAGCGATTCTCTTGCCTTAGCTCCAGAGTAGCTGGGACTACAGGCACCTGCCACAGGGCTTGGCTGTTTTTTGGTTTCAGTTGTCATTACTGTTTAGCAGGCTCAGGCCTGGCTCAAACCTGCCAGCATTGGTGTATGCGGCTGGTGCCCCACTCACCGAGCTATGAGCGCCAAGCCCACAAATTAATCTTTTGTATGTATCTTGTATAAAATGTATCTCATGTTCTTCAACCCCCCAAAATCACTATTTTATTTTAGTTTTTGGTATGAATTATACTACATATAAATTCACATTTCATTGTGAGCCTTAAAGTGACTCTCAAAGGTTTAGGAGTAAAGAAAAAGCATACTGTAAAATATGTAAAATATTATATCCTAAGGTAGGAAACAAATAGCTTACTCTGCCAGTGGTGTGCTAGAAGATTTCTCCCCAACTCCTTATTTGGTAACATCATGTTAGTAGCTTAAAATTGGACATGGTAGTAGTAGTCACAGCATGGAAATCAGCACATACCTCAGAGTTTGTTTCTCTCATGGTTCTGGTTATCAGAATACCACTGATTATAGTGCCATTTTGTGTCTCTCCTCAGCCCCACATTCTCAATGGGAAGTTAGAACTGGCAGAAGGCAGCATTCAAACTAGTATGCTGATAAAGCAAGAGATAAAAGATTGTCAAGAATTACTACTTCTAGGCCTGTAGCTCAGTGAGTAGGGCACCAGGCACATGCACCAAGGCTAGTCGGTCCGAGCCTGGCCCAGGCCTGCTAGACAACAATGACAACTCCAACCAAAAAATAGCCGGGCATTGTAGCAGGTGCCTGTGATCCCAGCTACTCAGGAGGCTGAAGCAAAAGAATCGCTTAAGCCCAAGAGTCTGAGGTTGCTGTGAGCTGTGATGTCATGGCATTCTACCAAGGGTAACATAGTGAGACTCTGTCTGAAAAAAAATAAAAAAGAATTACTACTTCTAGCAGCAAAATATTCTTTCTAGACAGCTTCTATTTAGGATGAGTATACTTTACTAGGATATAGAGATAGAGGGAAGTGCTTAAAAAAATTATTAAACAAGATTTCCTTACAGTGTAACATGAAGATTCCTAGGAGACATAAATTCACTTCTGAAGTTGCACATGATTTTAGATATAAACTCTGAGACAGTCCACTCCTGATTTTGAGATTCATGACTGAATTATGGTTAGGAGAGGGCAAGAAATGAAAATATTTAATAGTACATACACTAAGAAAGTTATCATTGGAAAGGCATTTCAAGTATTAGAAAAGAGGTATGTCCGGCTTGGCGCCTGTGGCTCAAGTGGCTAAGGCGCCAGCCACGTACATCTGAGTTGGTGGATTCGCCAAACAATGACGGCTGCAACCAAAAAATAGCCAAGCATTGTGGCAGGCACCTGTAGTCCCAGCTGCTTAGGAGGCAGAGGCAGGAGAATCGGTTGAGCCCAGGAATTGAGGTTGCTGCGAGCTGTGATGCCATGGCACTCTACCCGGGATGACAGCTTGAGGCTCTATCTCAAAAAAAAAAAAAAAAAAGTATGTCCTTTGAGAGAAGAGTAAAATAACAGTTAATGACTTGTCATTTTCCAATATTCATTTTAATAACTGCATATACAGCATTATTAACAATAGCCAAAAGATGGAAAAAACCTAAATGATTATCACTAGATGAATAGATGAACAAAATATGGTCTATTTATACATGGAATATAATTCAGCTATAAAAGGAATGAAGTATCAATACACACTACAACTTGTATGAAAACATTATATTAATTAACATTATAATTAACATTATATTAATTGGCTCAGCGCCTGTGGCTCAAGTGGCTAAGGCGCCAGCCACATACACCTAAGGTGGCGGGTT